TGAGTGTTTTTAGGCAAAAGTGAGTGACATCTTTAACTGCGTTTAGAAGCTATTAATTTAGTTTTTAAGAACTTCGAACTGAAAGTCGTCAATTTGTTTTCTTTAACTTGGACTGTCTTTAAAACCTATTGATCATAAAGGCTTTGAGCTGTGGTTGGGGGAAAATTAATCGAATCTTTAAATCCAATTACTTGCACAGCAATCACTTTTTGAAAACGTCGACTGACGAATGTATTAGTTTCCTATCTTTAAATCCGGTCTACTGTCTTTACAACCTAGTGATCTGTTTTATTTCTAAATGAGTGTTTTTAGGTAAAAGTGAGTGAGATCTTTAAATCCATTTAGAAGCAACTAATGGACTTTTTAAGAATCTGGAACTAAAAGTCGCCAATTTTTCTTCTTTAAAATCGACTGTCTTTAAAACCTGTTGACTCTAAAGGCTTTGAGCTGGGGTTGGTAGAAAATCAATCGAATCTTTAAATCCAGTTACTTGCACAATAAATCACTTTTTGAAAACGTCGACTGACGAATGGATTAGTTTCCTATCTTTAAATCCGGTCTACTGTCTTTAAAACCTAGCGATCTGTTTTAGTTCTAAATCGGTGTTCTTAGGTAAAAGTGAGTGAGATCTTTAAATCTATTTAGTTTGAACTAATTGGCCTTTTAAGAACCTGGACCTGAAAGCCCCCATTTTTTCTTCTTTAAATTCGACTGTCTTTAAAACCTTTTCCTGTTTTTCCTGATTCCAAACCTGTTCTATTTCTAAATGAGTGTTTTTAGGTAAAAGTGAGTGAGATCTTTAAATCCATTTAGAAGCAACTAATGGACTTTTTAAGCATCTGGAACTGAAAGTCGCCAATTTTTCTTCTTTAAATTCGACTGTCTTTAAAACCTGTTGATCCTAAAGGCTTTGAGCTGTGGTTGGTGGAAAATCAATCGAATCTCTAAATCCAGTGACTTGAAAAGAAAACCAGAAAACGTCGACTGACGAATGGATTAGTTTCCTATCTCTAAATCCGGTCTACTGTCTTTAAAACCTAGCGATCTGTTTTAGTTCTAAATCGGTGTTTTTAGGTAAAAGTGAGTGAGATCTTTAAATCCATTTAGAAGCAACTAATGGACTTTTTAAGCATCTAGAACTGAAAGTCGCCAATTTTTCTTGTTTAAATTCGACTGTCTTTAAAACCTGTTGATCCTAAAGGCTTTGAGCTGTGGTTGGGGGAAAATCAATCGAATCTTTAAATCCAGTTACTTAAACAACAAATAACTTTTTGAAAACGTCGACTCACGAATGGAATAGTTTCCTATCTTTAAATCCGGTCTACTGTCTTTAAAACCTAGCGATCCGTTTTAGTTCTAAATCGGTGTTTTTAGGTAAAAGTGAGTGAGATCTTTAAATCTATTTAGAAGGAATTAATGGACTTTTTAAGCATCTGGAACTGAAAATCGCCAATTTTTCTTSTTTAAATTCGACTGTCTTTAAAACCTGTTGATCCTAAAGGCTTTGAGCTGTGGTTGGGGGAAAATCAATCGAATCTTTAAATCCAGTTACTTAAACAACAAATAACTTTTTGAAAACGTCGACTCACGAATGGAATAGTTTCCTATCTTTAAATCCGGTCTACTGTCTTTAAAACCTAGCGATCCGTTTTAGTTCTAAATCGGTGTTTTTAGGTAAAAGTGAGTGAGATCTTTAAATCTATTTAGAAGGAATTAATGGACTTTTTAAGCATCTGGAACTGAAAATCGCCAATTTTTCTTCTTTAAATTCGACTGTCTTTAAAACCTGTTGATCCTAAAGGCTTTGAGCTGTGGTTGGGGCAAATTCAATGGAATCTTCAAATCCAATTTCTTGCACAACAAATCACTTTTTAAAAACGTCGACTAGTTTCATATCTTTAAATCCAGTAAACTGTCTTTAAAACCTAGTGATCCGAATTTCTTCTAAACGAGGCAAAAATGAGTGAAATCTTCTAAATCCGTTTTTATGCGAAGCTGAAAATCGCCATCTTTAAACCCAGTCTTTAAAATCTGGGGCGTTTATAGGGGAGTTGAGCTGAGGCTGTTTAGGCAAAACTGCGAAGCGAGTTATGAATGGAAATGGAAATAGGTATCTTTAAATCATTTGCAAACGAGTTTTGATATTGGGATGCGGTTTTTGAGGGTGGACAACATAGAAGGTGATCAGGTTCAGTGGTTGAAGGACATACAGGGTATTGCGTAGATTCTGGCCAGATTTGCGGAACATTCGGGAGATGAAGAGCGATCGATTTGTTAATCGATAGGAATTGTTAGGCAGGTCGAAATAGCAGGCGAAGATAACGGGTTGGATAGGCCAGACACCACGTCTGTTCCAGTAGGTTCTAATCTAAGATATGCCCAATGTTTGTCGTGATACACAGTATCTTGGAATGATAATGCTGCTATATCAGTTTATCCACCGGGGGTGATAATATGCAAAATCGCTTGATACAGACCCACAATAACAACAACGAAAAAATCTCTGGTAAATATAAGATATCTCTTTTATCTGTTACGTTGGACCAAGATAATTTTCATTCGGTTTCCTTTTAAAAGGTGTGGAATGGAGTTATCAATCGGAGGTTGTGCCGCAAAGGTATCGAAGTCGGAAAAGGCGCTCGGGACTCGGTCCGCCGGAAAGTGACTTTAAAATTGTGGAACCGCCACAAGAACCCACACAGTTGATCCATGTCAAATACGTTCGCTTGGAAAAACACGAACCCGTGAAATGTTTGCCAAGGGATTAGACTGGTGCCTTACAATTTCAGTTATGCGTAATCCGGCCGTGACGCAAAACTTGCGCAAATACGAGAATAAAGAGTGAAAAAATCGACGGGGCAAAGTGCAGTGCAAACAAAGGCGCGCCAATGGAATTGAGTCCTAATTACGTGTATTTTTCCGCTTTTTTCAAGGTAAACCGACCAATCAGCATGAAGAAGGAGGGCATCCAGACGAGGAAGCGACGCCCTAAGAGTGCGACGGCCGGTCACAACGGCTCCGCCATGTCACCAATGCCGCAAAGAATCAGTAAGTATCCATTTAAGTTTAGTAGAAAACCTCAAGTTTCCTGGAATGGGTGCATACGTGCAGAACGTTGGCCACATTAGATAAAATTCAAGTGCTGAGCAAATAACGATTAGAGACGAGGGCAGATAAGTGACGTGTGTTGTCGATTATATCGATAAAAGCCTCTTTATTGGCCCCAATAACTCCAACGAACAATAGTCAGTTTTTCTGAAAACCTGCCACTTGACATGGCTGGGATCGAAAACATCTAATAAACAGTGGCGTGCAGATTCCCGTAATCCCAATCAATTGCTGGGAGGCAACGCGATTCTACTTGGCCCGCCCATCGGCCTGGGCTTGTCCCCATTGATTTCCTAAACCGCTGAATATATCGACTCTTAACACAATATGCGACATCTCGTGGTCAATGTTCGAACAGGCCGTTTAAGTTACGGTTAGCTACGGTTTGGCGATCATTCAGCATGTGGTCACGCCCCAAAACGGTTTAAATGAAATGCTGCAGGCGCAGGAATTCAGCCATTCAAACGCCGAAGGAAACGCACAGGGACTAAGTTTCTTGGAAACTTTAAATCAGTTGAACTGCGCATTGTTTGGAAAACTGTTGCAACATTCCTGTGCTCACCCTGAAGCCGCAATTGAGAATTAAAGCACTGCAAAAAAGTGATTGTTATGCACTGTTTGGTCAAAAAACGCAACTTAAACACTGCAAAAAAAATATAAACTCCCATAGGAATGGAACTTTCGGAACTGTATTCAGAGAGAATGTTACTGATATAATAAACAGTTTATTATAAACTGCAACTTAGAAAAATGTCGCTTCAATCGCAGCTGAAACTGATTTTTTACGAGGTTCCAAACTTGCACAACTTGCAACATTCGCACACGAAAAAATTCTGAACTTGCATATTATCTGAAGTTTCAGAATTACACTTTCACAGTCC